CAGGGGCACAGTGAGGAATGAGGCTGATTGTAAAAAAAAAATAAAAAATAGTAACAGACAGAATAGATGTAACATCCAAAACCACTGTTTGCAACATACATTGGGGAAGATTTGTAGCAACTTGAACTTATTTTTCTTTACTCAAGAAGAAGTGCAACAAACAACAGCACAGAAGATCAGTGTTAAATACCTGATTGATATGTGCATTAATGCCACTAGGCAAGAGGAGTTACCTTTTGGAAGGGAGAGCATGAAATTGCTCAACATCATGAAGCATCAAAAATAAAGAAGCTGTAAGATGTACCCTGAACAGAGAATCAAAGCCCATCCTACTTAGGCCAACAGGTACCTGGCAAAACTATATTCCGACTTATTGCCTGCCCTTGACGCGTACTTATTTCTGTAATAATTAGAGCCACTAGAGTATAATCTTCTGCAATTAAATTCAATGTTTCGTTAGGGTTTATTAGAACATAAATACTATAATCATTTTACGTAAGCGTTTAATTTGCTTAAGCTCCTTATTACTATTTCTGACATTGATGATCCCCTGCCTGTGCTAGATTCTCACTAGTAAATGATTAAGCGGACATGAAACTCTAAATCCAGGTTTACAGAATAGGTGGGTATGGTATTATGGACTGAAGGGTCCTTGTTCTGCACCTGATTTGTTGTGTGACTTTGTATGAGCTGTTAAAGAGCATCAGTTGTTCTTCTAAGAGCACCTGTTTTCTGTCTGTAAAATGGAAGTGATACTGATAATGATATAGATTAGGCAAAGCAGGTTGAGCCTGTGGAAATATACACATAAAGAAGTGCTATATCATGACTGTGTTAATACTGTTCTGAGCTCCATATTGGAGATTCCCAAAATTAGAAATACCTTGCTACTCTCCTCAGAGAGCCCACACATTATTAAAAGGGACACAGTGGTCAAGTCGCAATTACAGGGCGTAAAAGGAGTGAAACAATGAAATCACGTGTAAACTAAACAGCAGACAGTCAGGAAGCATTCGCTGCCCTGATGAAAGGGTGTGGTTGTGGAAGACCTTCCAGGTCAAGGTGATGTTTGACCTGGGGAAGGTTTCTTGTCCTGGTAAATAGGGAGGGCAAAGCAGAAAGTCCACAATTAGGGGCAAATGTGAAAAAATATGCGAAACAGAGTATGTCTTTCAGGAATAGAGAACTAACAGAATTCATGGGTCCCAGAGCTCAGGGCAGGGCAGGGCAGTGGAGGTTTTCAGGGCAGGACAAGGAGAATGATGTGTGCAAATCAAGGGAACTGCATCTCAGCCTACAGGGGAGAGGGAGCTAGTGAAGGTGTTTAGGCAGGAGACCATCAAATTTGCACTTTAAAGAATTGCTTTCGGTAGTTTAATAAATGGGTCAAGAGAGGGAAGCATAGAGGCAGTGAGGCATTTACAGTAGCCCAGGGAAAAGGTGAGGTGCTGAATGAAATAACGGCAATGGTAGCAAATACCCTGAGAAACATTTAGGAGGAATATGAATGTGTTTGTTATCTAACTACTTACAGAGATGCTCATGCCATCAGCCTTATTAGGAAAAGCTTGCGGGGCCTTCCTGAGGAAGGTAGTGCACAGGGATGTCTGCATTTGGAGTCTCAGGGAAGAGGCAAGGGCTTATAATTTGGAAATAAAATAGATGGTAGTGAAAACCATAAGGTTGCAAATAGAGTGGTTAGAATGAGAAGAGCAGCGGAGAAAGGATAGAATCCTTCAGGATCCTTTAGAACAGCAGAGCTTAAAAATAGAAGAAATAGAATTTATTCAAGAGGCAGAGGAAGAACAACGAGATAAACAGGTAGCATGAGATCCAGGCAAAGTCCCGTGATAGAGAATAAAGGAGGAAAGAATACTATCAGAGAGCTTACTTGAGAGATCAAGAATGATAAGGATTAAGGACCATCCATTGGAGCTGCTAATTCTAGAAGCCATCTGGTTTCCTTTCCTGGTGCCATCTAAGAGATGGGGGCAGAACAGTGAGTTGGAAATTACCAGAGAAGACACTGAGTGTAAACAGAACTCTCAGGAATATCGGCCATAAGAAGAAGGCATGAGAACAAATTAGACTGGGGTGGGAGGAAAAGAGTTTTGCTTTGTATAAAAGTGGAAGGAGGCGTGGGTGTGTTTATTTCCTGAAGGTTATGGACCCTTATACAATAAATTGGAGAGCAAGAAGAGAGAGGGGATGTTCCATTCAGCCAGCTTTTTAATGACTGGTAATGGGAATTAGGACATAGGGGAGGAACTGACCTGGTACAGAAAAACTTTTTGCTGTGATGAGAAAGGATGGGAAAAGGATAAATGCAGACTGAAGTAAAATAGCCAGTGGAGGTGCCCGGGGAGAGGAAGACAGGCCTAATTAAAGTGAAGCCATCAGTAGACTGATGTCGATGGAAGTGGGGAGTGCGTTTAAGAGTAACGGAGAATAGGAAATGGAGCAGACTAAAACCAAAATGATAAGGATTAATTAATTGCGACTGGCCTAAGGTCACATTCTGGAGGTGGAGAGAGTTCTGGCCGAGCTCAGCAGCTCTGCCCTGGTCTAGAAGGACTATTATATACTTGGTGTCCAAGATTGGGGTTTGGCAGGCAAGCACTGGGGAGGGGAGAGAGGGAAGAGTTGACAGTCATTGGGTTTACAGCTTGTGGGTTTGCTTTTAGGTTAAACAATGGGGGTTTTCTTTATGGAGATGAAGGTGGGTGTTACATTTTTTTCTTGAGACTTGACGACATAACTAAGAAAAGGCAGGGAGCTTCCACAGTCAATGGCCCTTAATCCCATGCTTGAAACTGTTGCCCACTTTGTCCACTAACTTCCTTAGGAAACTGTAAGTTGCTGACTAGCTGTAGGAAGGATATGGAAGACAAGGGGGGCAGCAATGTAGTCCCTGTGTACGCACATTCAGTAGGACTCCTTCACCTGGATCCTCTTTTTTTGTGGGCCTATGGATTCATTAAAAATTCTGCAAGGAGAGCTTGTACTTAAACAATTGTATACTCCAGGTGGAAAACCATTTCTTTTACTGTTTTCCAGAGTTAGCTAATTGTTTAAAAACTGTTCTCACTGGTAGTTCCTCCTGGTTGCAATAGCCTCACAATGAAGTGAAACTCTGCCAGAGGCATTCATACCAAGGATGTTTAGAGGCATTTCTTCAATGTAATTTGCAGGGCTAAATGGTGCCAGCACTTCAACAATAGGCCAAGCCACTCTCTGGGAACAGTGGGAGGAAGGGTCAACCTAGGATTTTGGTGCGGGCCTTTGTTCCAGGAACTCCAGTTTTGGAAGCAGGTAGTAGAGGCACACACAGGGACTTGTGGAAATGGGCAAATGCCAGTCAAGTTATAAAAGCCCTGATGAATTGTCTATTTTAAGGAGGAACTGTTGTGGGAAAAGCATTAGATTGGGAGCCAGACAATCTGGGTCCTCTTCTAAGCAAATCACATAAGAGATCTGGGCCTCAGTGTCTTCATCTGAAAAAAACAAAAACATGGTACCACTGATAGGACCAGGGGAGGCGAGATAATTAAAAGCTAAATCCTGACTCCTTTCATCTGCTTTATATTTCAGAGGCTCCCATTGAGAATTTGTTTAATGAGTAAAAGCTGATGCTAAAATAAGTGTAAAGACTTCTAGCTAGAATGTGTTTTCTAAGACTTTTCTATTCTAAAATTCTAGTACTCTAAATGGAAATAACCAGCAGTTACATTAATGTAATTCTCATGATTCTAATAATTTTAATTGTTGATTTTCAGCACATTTGTTGCAATGATTTTGAAAACAGCTTCACGTCAGCCACAATTTGGAATTTCTTAGCTTGAGTTCCATGGGTGGGTTTCTGGGAGTCTGTGAAACCCCTAAACACACATGCATGATTTTGAGTATATGGGGACACGGAAAGATTTCAAAACCTTCATCTCTCAGCAAGTAAATGAAAGCAGCAATGACACAAGTTATCACCCCCTTGATGGGAGTCAAAAACATCCCGATCTCAAGCTGACACAGTGAGAGGACTTTAAATAGATTGAGTAGACTTTGCAGTAAGAACAACTTTTCCCAAGTTGCCTCACACAACGCCATCCCTTTCTGAAGATTACATCATATCGCCAGTTTGTCTTTCTACAATTCCGTTGTGGGCATTTCATACTATTGTGGGTGGGGAGAGGGTCAGCAGAGTCTTTGGTCACAGTACAACATTTCCCCATAATCTTCCATTTTCTGGCATTTGAAAGATGTCAAGATCAAATTCTTTGGCTCTCCATGCCAAACCTCCTCAACTCTAACGTGTTTCTACTAGATAGAGAGAGAACCGTATGTTCTTCACTTTTGAATCTGTAGCCTTGTTAATCTGAAGCTCTAAAAGACTCGTGGTCCTGAAGGTAAGTTTTTTTAAAAACATGTATTCTAAAGTAATTAGGAAGAATAAGAGTAAAGGAAAACAAAAATGTTTGGCCATTTGATAACATCTTGCCTTGGAAGACTGCAGTTTTTCTGAGTGCATTTTCAATTCTATATGTGATACAATTCTATTGTATCTAATATTTGTGTGGTTATTAGCATTCAATAGCAGACATTTCCGTGGTCTTTTTAAGTCCCACTTCAAAGGGGAATAACCTGGTGGGGAGAGTGAGGCATTGATCTGAGGTGGTAGCAGGAAATGGGGGCAGAGATGAGCCTGTCATGGAATATCAGGTGTCAGAGAGAAGGCCCCAGACACATTAAACCAATCAAGGGGTTGTACACAGGCCCTGACTCACATAGCATTGCAAGGCTGGATTCTGGCATGTGTACCCCCGATCCACTTGCGTGGCAAAAAAGCTTCTTTTATAGACGGTATGCTGACGCAGACACTGTGCAGCTGATAAACAACGGGGCATAAAAAATAAGACAGACAAAAGCCAGTAACATTTAGAACTGAAGGTTGACCTGAGGTTCTGTAAGAATTCTCATAATTTGACCCTTTTGCTCTTTCATTTCAGATGCTGCACAACAAACATGTCATGGTCCGCGTGGGAGGAGGATGGGAAACTTTTGCAGGGTATTTGTTGAAACATGACCCCTGCCGGATGCTGCAGATCTCCCGCGTGGATGGCAAAACATCTCCCATCCAGAGCAAATCTCCGACCCTTAAGGACATGAATCCAGATAATTACCTGGTGGTCTCTGCCAATTACAAGGCTAAGAAGGAGATTAAGTGAAACTAGTTGGTCATGACAAGGGGACTCTCGTAATGGCCTGTATCCACTTCTCCAGTGTAGTCAGTTTAGTTCCCAGGCTCTGAAAATTGCTGAAAAAGGTGTAACACACAGGAAGATGCCGTCATATTTGAAAAACATTCAAAGAGTAGCACTATTTATTTTAATGCTTGTGTAGAAAATGACCTATGAAAAGAAATTCTAAATTCAGATTTAGATTAGATAAATTCATAGGCAAATGATTACTTCTCAATAGGTGAACACAAATGTTTAGAATACAGTATTAGAAATACAAATCTAGCTAAAGATAAAAACTGTTACTAGAAGAAAATATGTAGGATTTACAAATAAGGAAAACAGAAAGTGCCTGCTTTATGTCTTCAGAGTAAAAGAACCCCAGATATTTTTATAATTTCAGGATTTTTAAGCTAATTTTTAAAAAGTGACAATTAGTGTAATAATGTGCTACTAAAAATATCCAACCACACTATAAATAAGTACAGAGTATTCACAACAGTAATACTTTCCTGGAAAGGCCACTTCAGAAAAGTTTACATTCACTTGGAAGGTTGCCTTAAAGTTATTCTCTTATCTATGACCAAATATCTGGGGTACTTTTGGAAGTTATCAGTACACCCCTTAGAGAATCACTAATGAATTGTCCCACACATTCCTGAGAAACAGCTGTGTTGAGACTGAAAGTGTAATTCACATACATAAGCTGACGTACGTTTCAATTTTGACAGAGTAAATTGTACAAATGTTCATTGACTTCATGTTATTTTAAAGCATTCTTATTGACTATATCTTTAGTTAATCCTACTTTGCTATGCTGTCTAGTGAAGTCAATTCACTGTAGCTAATAATGTTACAGACTTATGTATACCCTTGTACACCTAGGACAGAGCTGTTTTGTACCCATCAACAGCAAATTATTGTCCTCACTGATTCAAAAATTAAAGATAAATTGAAAAATTTTTATCTGTCTCGATATCAATGCTTCATTCTGAAATAAAGATAATCTTCAAGTGGCATCTTCCCCCGAAAGTTACAGAAGAGTCAAATTATAGTTACCTCGTATTTCTTCACTTTGGGAAGCTGAGGGATAGTGGTGTGTGTTCATCTAAGGGGAGAGTCTAGTTTTTACCATAGGTGGCTCCTTAAGTGCTACCTTGAGTATAAAAAAGTATAGGCAAAGGTAATTTGTCATTTCCTCACTTTTCAAATGATCCACCTTCTTTTGCACCAGAAAGTCAGGGAGGAAGTATATGTCATACGACTGCTTTAGACAAAGCATATACAACCTATTGGGAAGTTTTTAAACAACAGGCACAGTGTAATTTGGTGGTGCCTAAGTGGTGATAATCATTCTGGGGTAAAAATTAAAGTTTTGTAGGAAATGAAAATTACCTTAGAGCAGCGAATAATTTTAACATCTTAAAAATAGAGTGACTTGATTTTTATTTTACTAAACTAATATTCATACTGAATTTCTGTGTAGTAATTGGCAACAACATTCCCATCAACATTTTCCCCTGTGCTTAAATTTTTCCTATAAAGTTACATCCTTAATAATTAAAATTAATTTCATTAGTTTAGAAAAGAAGTCTAGGTTAACAAAAATAATATTCATCTTGAGGTAGAAGGCGGACTCTGTCCCGTAGAGTACACTCCGGGTCGTCACAGATGGGGAAATAAGTCGTCCCAGACACTTTCCCGTCTGTCTGCCAGGGAAAGGGGTGGCAATTCCCTCTAGTGGAGAATGCCCTGAGCCCTCCTCTTGAAGTGGCTTTTATCGAGAACCATAGGCGCAGGGATATACAGTGTGGATGCAAAGCTCATCAATCAATGTCAAAAGGCTGTTTGCAGAAAATAGAGATCATAGATAACAATGGAAGGAACACAAGAGATTTGCCTCAGGTCAGGGTCTGGTAGACAGGGTGGTGCCAATTCAGCCCTGAAACCTGGGCAACTGATCACAGTCTATGCTCAACCCCAAACATCAGTACTTGAGGGCATTCTTAGCAAAGTCAGAGGACTTAATACATTCCTTTTCCAGGCCTCATTGTCCCTGGAAACCACCCAGTCCAGTTTAGGGCTGTACCTGCCTTTAGTATTGTTTCATTGAACTTGTCAGGCTGCGGGCAGGACAGCAAAGAGATAAGGAGACTTATTTCAGATAGAATGAGGACTCTGGCCATGACAAAGCTGAGGGGTGAGGGTCTTTTGCCCTTTCTCCGTGGCCCCCAAGTACTTCCTGTGATGGCCCCTATGTGACTGTGCCTGTCTTAGGTTGCCTCTGCCATTGAGGGGTCTTACCTGTCATTGACTAACCAGCCATTCTCCGGGGCCAAGCAGGGTGATGTCGGGGAGGTAGGGGCTGTGCCCCTGCCAGGGGGACAGGTTTTGTCTCTTCAGTGGCCTATTTTCCCAAGGCCTCCTTGCTCAGCTCCAGCCTTGGGGCCTCTAGCCTGTCAGTGAGACTACTACAGTCCCTGAAACCAGGTGGGATGATTCCCAACATAATCTCTTCATGTATTTTGTTTTCTGATGTAACAAGTGACAAGCAATTTAGTGGCTTACATACCACAAATTTATTATGTGGCAGTACTGTGGGTCGAAAGTATGAGATGGTCTCACTGGGCTTAACGGCAAGATGTCAGCAGGACTGTGTTCCTTCCTTAGAAGAGAATCCATGTGTCTTTTCCACCTTCTAGAGGTTGCCTGGTTTCCTTGGCTCGTGTCCCCCTTCCTCCATCTTCAAAGCCAGCAATAGAAAAATAGCTCAATGATGCTGCTTTTTCACATCTCTCTGGTTGACCATGGGTTGGAATGGTTCTCAACACAGCATGTATACCTACCAAACTTACTGATCTATTTGTGCTGAAGTTATTATTCAAATCTCAGACCAACAAGTTACTTTTTTCCCTAAGGGCGTGGCATAACTCTTTTAAGAAAATAAAGAAGTTGAACTGTTGGAGAAAAGGAAAACTCAAGGTTTATGTCAATTCTCCTGGGATACCAAGAATGATAGCTAGAATCTATTATTGTATTATTTCTCTAAGAAAACAAGAGACTAATAATATCATTTCTTCTTTAGAGCACTGGAGAAGAAACATGCCCATCTGTAAACTCAGGGATTGCAGGGACCAATGAAACAGTTTTTAGCACTGTTCTCATTACTCCCAAAGAGATGAAGGCGTTGCTGAGGGTTCCCTAACCACTAACCCAAGTTCTAAATATTTAAGATACAGTGAAGATAAAATTTGGTTAAACAGAGACAACCAGAGCCAATTTTTATAAAGGAAAAAGGTGTATTTATATCCGTATATGACAGTACAGAATTTCTAACAAAACCATGTGCGGGAAAACTATTAATTACATTCTAAACACAAGTGGCAGAAGTGTCACATATAGATGCTTAATAAAACATGCAGTGTCAACAGAGAGGCCATTGAATAATACGTAACTTTTTGTCACCAGCTATGTTAAGTGTTGGGTGACTAGAATAATAAAGCAGTGATTTAGGTATTTTTCGTCTTAACACAATAGTTACCTACATGCATTTTACTGTTTAATATTTTAGTAATTTGGGCATGAGGTTTGGGTGCCATATTAAGCATTACGTTTTCCTATTTAAGTTATGAATTATGGCAAATTGGCTCCAAATTAAGGTTTCCACTCATAACTTTATGAGGGAGATGCCTGGATGTATCTATAGGAGTGTACAAATTTTCCTTTTTTTAGTAATAATTTGCCAGTTTCCTGTCAGGAATTTAGTCTCCCCCTTCCCTTCCTAACACTGCTCCTAACATTTGAGTAGCACCTCTTAGTCCACGTGACCCAGGAGGTTTGGGGAAGCTGATCACACCCATGCAGGAAGGCGGGTCATGAGTGGCTGGAGCAGGACCTCCCACTGTTCCAGAAAGCGACAGGCCAGCCTACCATTCATGCTTCAACAGTACGTAAGCATGGTATTTGCGTATAAACTGCTATTAGAAATAAGGAATTATCCCCTAGATATAAATCTTTTGTTTACACTAACCCAAGTTGTCATACTTTAGGATGCAGTAGAGAGAAAACTGTTGTTTCTATGTTAAAACAGAAGGAAGGATTTGCACAGTTTAAGGATACGTCTGGTTCTATATCCTTTCAGCTGTTAATGATTCTTTTACCTTTCTACCTTGGAAAAATTAATCATGTTCATAAAAGTCAAAATTTTATTTCTAAAATGCAATTCAATAGTTTCACTATCCTTTATGAACAAAAATACCACTAATTCTCTAAAGGATGAAGAAAACTGAGCCTAACTATATGTCTTGCATGGATATCATGAAATATTTCATGCCATAATAGAAAGGGTTATTTTTTCAATGATGAGTCAAAAGACCTATATTATAGTTCAAACTCTTTAAAATTAACGTATACAATACACTGCAATATAACACAAGTCTTATGGTAGGGGTGAGTGACACAGTGGCTCAGTTTCCTTTCTAAAAATCAAATAAGCTGGTCTATTTAATTTCGTCTCTATTAGTATCTGCAAATTCTAACTTAGGGCTCAGATTATAGCCTTGCCATCCAAAAGAGCAACCACAATAGCTAATCAAAAGATATAGCAATTTTTCTATTTTAGCTTAGTATACATTAGAAAGAAAAAAATGCAAAAAACAAAATGCTGTAAAACTCATGTTACTAATAAAAATCTACAAAGCTCATGACTATGCATAACATAGAATAATCTCATAATATTTTAATGTTTAAAATAGTCCTTTTAAAATATAGTACATGTTTCATGCATTCATATTTGCTTTGGCAATTTCACATCTGTATAAATCTTACGACCATTTTTAAATAAATACAAAAGAATAAAAAATCTATGAAACTTGGACAAGTACACTACCCCTCGGTGTAGCCCACCCTGATTTTCAGTTTAACTCATTCAGTTGCTACAAAGATCTTCAGAGAGCTGAACCTGATCCTGTACAACAGTACATCACTGCCCTCTGATGGTATCACTGATTGATATAATTTTAAATTTAGCAAGCAAAAAAAATCATTGTAATGTAAAATAGTATGTTGCAATAAGCTATACAAGTAAAAAATAAATTAGGAGAAATTCAATATTTTCTACAAATATTCATTACTTAATGAGTTATAAAAATTTAGTGTTCCTTCATATAATCCCTTCGAATGATTTTTCAAGGTTTTCCCTGATGATCAGTTTAAAGGCACTAAGTCCATAAGTTTAAGCAAAGGTCTTCATATATAATGAAACAAAGGAAATATATGGCTAAGCAGCACAACTATAAATAGGTAGACCATTCTATAAAGGAGGAAAAATAAAACCGCAAATTTTAATATTTGAGTTATGCAGAATCTTTACATGTGATGTATACATATTCACTATTTAGATTTCACTACTAAAAATAGCATATTACCCACTATCAGCAAAAAAGCAAATGTAGGAAAATAAGTATTCAATGAAAGTTATGGCCATTTTCTAAGTCTGAAAATCAAAAGCACTTTCAATATTTCAATACTGAAAAAGCACTGCATTTAAGGGCACTGAAATTACAAAGTCTTAATCTTCATTTATTCAAAGAGAAGAAGTTAAATTGAGGATGTCCACTTGATTGCAGATACTAGTTATTGGCAGTAGACTCTCAACTCATATTGTCCTTTATGAAACTGTCCACTAGAAAATAAAAATATACAGAGAAAAGTAAATTTTATTTAAGGTTATATAACAATATTTCAAGTGAATAAACAGGCAAAGAGAGGACAAAGGGATATGCCAGTGATTTTCAACCAATGTGCTGAGGCAATACTGGTGTGCCACAATAATTTTTACAACATGTTAATACCTGCCCTGGCTGGTGTGCCTCAGTGGATTGAGCACTGACCTGTGGAGCAAAGAAGTTGCTGGTTTGATTCCCAGTTAGGGCACATGCCTGGGCTGCGGGCCAGGTTCCCAGCTGGGGGCGTGTTAGAGGCAACCGATTAATATTTCTCTTGCACACTGAAAAAGCATGCAATACCCTACTATTTAGTCAGTGGCACTGACTTCTTTTCCCTTAGATTGTCAAATAAAAAAATGACAACAGCTAACACAAGAGCCATCTGGTGTGAAAGAATCAAAATTATACCTATTCTTTTTGTCAGACTGGCAAAAAATATATTTTTTGTTGTGCTGCAGAGTTTTAGTAACTAGTTTATATGTGCCATGAGATTGAAAAGATTGATTGCTGGGACATGCAAATGCAAACTGATTTTTGTGAATAGCAGTGATTACTAAAATTTTACAGTAAAAAGTCTGACATAAGATATATGATGGTTTAAAAATATAAAGAAATAAAACAAAATATCAGGTCAGATTAATGGGCAGCTCAATCTCAAATATCCAATAATTATTAAAGGGGGAAAAAAAAAAGGAATCCACCACCACTAAATAAAAACAACAATGGAACTACAAAATGAAAGTACAGTACAGGCATACTTGCTTGAGGCACAGAGCCAAGAAATGGTAGAAATTATTAAATAATGGTTTGTCAGTCTTTTCTTTGCTTGAGTGGAGGGACTATTCCATTTGTTGTTCTGTTTAATCAAATCTGTTAAATCTGCAATAACAAGTTCTGAAAGAGCCACTGGGATAGGATCAGAGTTATTTTTAAGTCTACTGAGTAGTGTTTTCCAAGAACATCCAAGGAATATTATTTGGTATGTGTATAAATGTATTTAAATACATTTTTAAAACTAAGGTTTATTTCACGCAATCTTGCTTTTCTTTATTGCAGAACTTACAGCAGGGGTGTCCAACCTGTGGCCCATGGGCCACATGTGGCCAAGGATGGCTAAAAATGTGGCCCAACACAAAATTGTAAATTTACTTAAAACATTGTTATTTATTTGCAACTCTATTTTCAGTCGACATAAATATGTTAGCTGCCATTTTTCAAATGGAATGCATAGAGCTGCAATCTGACATTCAAGTTAAAGAAAAATTTGATTGTATCTCTTTCCTGGACTTTTATAGGTTCTGTCTTCCCAGAGACAAATATCCATTGCTTCACAATCACGCTTTATTCATGTTATTTGGCAGCACCTACACTTGCAAGCAACTATTTTCAAGAATGAAACACATTGAGAGTAAAATTAGAACCAAAATATCTGGTGAGCACCTTGAGAACTCAGAGAATTACAACTACTTCTATCAAACCAGATATTGATGCACTAGTTTCTCAAATACAATGTCAAACATCCCACTAGTTTTATGTTGCTCTCTTTTCTTTTACTTTTATAATACAAAAATATTAAAAAAATCATGATGTTTTATTACTTAGATATGTCTATTTTCTATATGAATGATCAAAAACCTGGGACCTGCTCTATGATTTTAAAAGATTATTGAAAGGGCCACTGCATAATTAGGGTTATTATGTGAGGACTTTTTTGCTCATCTGTGGCAGCAGATATCATGAAAATTATGCACCGACTTCTTTTTTCGCTCATCAGTTTTCGTTAGTTTGTGTATTTAATGTGTGGTCAAAGACAACTCCTGTTCTTCAGTGTGGCCCAGAGATGCCAAAAGGCTGGACACTCCACCTTAGAGACTTGAATACTGTGCCCTTTTTTCAAGAAAGGGATATAGTATACAACCTAATATACAGAATTTTAAAACATTTTTTTACCACAGGACTCTGTTTTCCACAATGTTTCTCTTAGGAGTAGGGATAAGGACACTAGATCAGTGATTCTCAATCTGATTTGATATTAGATTACCTTGGGGAGCTTAAAAAAGTACTGAAGGCCGCATCCCCCCTCAGCGATTCAGACTATATGAGGTGGGGCACAAAGTTTAGCCTCTTTTGCAAGCTCCTCTTGACACTAATGTGCAGCCAGGGCTGAGAGCCACAGCACTCGAGGTCTGCTGTTCCTCCTGTGCCATCGTCGCCTTGACTTTTAAGATAAGGCTGCCTGTCCAAAAGACAGTGCATGATACCAACGTCAATGATCCTGGGAAGAGGCAGAGCTTGTCAGGAGATGACTATGTGGGGGGTGTGACAATATTTAAAGTATCTTTTACTTATAACATTATATGTGACAAGTCACTCAGTACCTCCTTTTCTTCTACTACAAAACAGAAGGTCTCAGCATCATTACCAGTCCTATAATTTGACTTCCACAAATTGTTTTTGAGAACTCTCTATGAAGTAAAACCTGGTGCACAGATCTGTATCTCAACATAACTGAAAGTAAGTATCTATACTTTTGATAACAATTTTACCCTGTATTTCCCACCTGTTTTACTTGATACTAACCTTACTCCATTCTATTTTTGGGGGTATATTTTAAGAAAATAAGGCTATTTACTTTAATATTGAAACCAGTTATTTTATATATTGTTAAAAGTTAACAATAAAAAAGTATTAATTTAATAAGTGAAATTAGATAAAGTAACATACAATTATAAAACACAGATAAATCTTATCTCTAAGTGATATTCCTGAGCCAGAATCACCTCCACTTAGAATGTCCCTAAATTGCCTGCCCCACAAACACATCAGTATTTACATATAGTTTGAGAGCAAACACCGAACTGAATTGAAAAAGACAGTGAATTGGCTAAACAAGTGCTCATAAATTATTGAAAAGTTAAATATAATTGACCAAAATTCAGAACACTGTCCTTTTCACAAATATACTTCATTGAGAAAGGAATTTCCTTTAAAAATGGACCAAAGAATAAAATCTTAGTATCTGAACCATTATTTTTCTGAGTTGTAACATGTAAAATGAAACCTTTATAGTCCTACTAGACTGTTAAGATTCCCAAGTTCAAGGACGTTACTTGATTTGCCCGCCACTATATTTCCAGTGTCAAGGGCTCCAGCCGCTACCCTGGGAGATGCACGCGTCTCGCTCACTCCTGGACAATGCTGTCCAAATGAACGTTTACCTAACTTTGATATGAATGACAATGAAAAGATCAAGAATGTCAAATCACTGAGTGAAAAAAGTGCAGGTTATAAAAACAAATTTTTAGTGCAGTCCAATTTAGCAGGATTGATGTGTAAGTGGAAATAAGAAACAATGTTTCAAAATGACACAGAATTTGAGTGATTTTAACTTCTTTATGCTGTTTCATATTATTTGAATGCTCTTCACAGTTAAGATTAGTATTAATTACATAAAGTATTAATATAATCAGGAAAAATCTATTTGAATTTTGGGAAAAAGAAAGTGAACCTATTCCAAGCAAATGCTAGACTGTCCAAATAAACCGACACTTCTTCCAATCTATATTATTCATGCTTTTAAATTAATTCAAAATATTCTGATAATCCATTTTAAGAGGAAATTTTAATGGACTGCTAGTGAAGTTCTTAAAAATTCCAAGTAAATCTTAAATAAATTTTAATACTTACTCTAAGTCCACCTTCTGGTGGGGGCCCAGATGTAGCTATTTGCTTTTCTATTTTTTCTTTTCTCTTTCTCTTTTCTTCCACAGACTGAACATTCAAAATGCCCCGAGATGCAGCCTTTAAGAAATTTAAGGGATATAAACAATAAAATTCAGTATCCAAGTGTTCTGTTTTGTTTGCTCTGGAGGTGGGGTATTGGTCTACTTTGGTAACAAAGATTTAGACTGTTTTTACAACAGCTTTACATAAAAGTCATGTTTTCATCAGGTATTTTGCAAGCATGCAGTCTTCCCCTTCAACTTATTTCATATCTGTCAGTGTTTTATAAGGCAGGGTCATTTTATCCTAGAGAATAATGTTACTAAAGGGGCATCACACATTAGAGAAGACATCTGTATAATAATTTTCATACATTAAATGATATAAATGCATTAATTTATAGAAACACAGAAATCATTTTGAAAAATAATTACTTTTAAATATAAATTAAAAGCTATCCGATACCATTTTCATTAGAGAATACTACTAGTCATAGACATTTATCAAGAGTACAGTACAGCCCTGACCGGTACAACTCAAGGCTGGGCGTCATCCCACAAAGGGAAGGGTCTCTGGTTCATTACCAGTCAGGGCACGTGCCTGAGTAGCCGGTTCGATCCCGGTCCATGTGTGTAGAAGAGGCAGGCAATCATTATTTCTCTATCACATCGATGTTTCTTCCCCTCTCTCCCTCCCTCCCTTCCCCTCTCTCTAAAGATAAATAAGTAAAATCTTAAAAAAGAAAAGAATAAAGTACAAACTTAATTCTCTAGGTAGAATTTCATTTTTACTCTCACCTCCTTCTGTCTTCTCTCTGCAGCTTCTGCAAGCTTTGCTCTTTTTTCTTCCTAAAGAATATATATAAAAAATGTTTTAAAATAAAAACCAAACATTATCATGGATAATTTACATACCTATAGATCTCTTATAGATAATATAACAGTTTATAAAAATATTTAGTACTGGCCCAATATGTTCCATCAAGAATGTCAGTTATTTACATTTAAAAAATAATCAACTTTCTGAATTTCATTCTTGCAATTAATTAACATATTTTCAAGGACATGCTGAGACATATATATATGAGATACACATTGTATGTCTTGATATTATATATGCATATATATAAAACAGGTTGGTCTATAAAATAATCTACTTGCTTTTGTTTATAAAAGACTTACATGCAAGTTGGGGCAATAAAACAAATAATATTTAATAATACAAGGTTCAGTACTACCAGTTATAAGGAGTTTGAAGTAGGCTGGTGTTTTTAGGGAAGGTTCATGAATGAAGGGAGCGAATCTCATTAACTGTAGGGTATTCACAACTGTTCGACATTGTAATTTTCTATATCATGTATTAATTATAACATCTTTAGGTAAGACACTAAGTAGCACACTTGTGTGAGTTGTGTTAATAATTCCCTTCTTTTCTATATATATTCATTCATTCATTGTTCAAATACATTATTTACTGAGCACCTATCACATGTCTCAGGAGCCTTTCTGAGTGCTGAGGATAGAACAGTGAAAACATATTGATGTTTCCAACCAAAAGTTAAATTCTGAGGGCACACAGTCAAATATAATCGAATGTAAGTCAATAGTGTCTGTCAGACAGTAGTAAGTGCCTAGGAAAGAAAAAGAATAAGAAATGGAAGGATGGGTGGGTGGTAGAGTAGGGGATCTATTTTATATAGTGTGGTCAAGAAAAACCTAAACAACAAAGTGACATTCAAGTCACAAAGTGAGCCACGTGGTTATCTGTAGGAGTGGGTGGAGGGTTTAACAAATGCTTACAGACTGGAATTTTATCAACAGCCCGATAAACAAAAACAACATTTAAAAGCAACAGTAGCAAGAAAACAAGGTAAACTCCCTGGTACCAACTTCCAGGTCATTTTTAGTACCTATTATCAAATGGCTGAAGAGTTAATGCACTTCCTTAAATACCTAATTTCTTTACACGAATTTTTAGCAAGATAGGAGAGAAGAGAGGAATTTAGGTTTTCTGTTATCAGCTCCCAGGAGGGCGTGTTAGTGTAAAGATACTGTTAAAAATAAAGCTACAAAAAGAATAAATGCAGTGTACCACAAGCGCTAAATCTGAATTTCAAATAAACAATGTATAACTTCAGTATAAATGTCTCAATACTATATGCGACAAACCTATTTCTAAAATGTATTTTGTTTATCTGAAAATTCAAATTTAACTGGGCGTCCTGTAGTCTTATTTGCTAAATACGGCAACTTTACAAACTGTACGCTCTGTACTACATAAAATAATTATTTTTTAAAAAGGAGGAACTTAAGAGAAATACTGAAGGGAAATTACTAATAAACTATCCAATAAAGCTCAGGAGTATAAAGGGCTTTATTGAGCACCTTCTTTAAACAGCTGGTACAGACACAGGAGAATGCACATCTCCTATTGTAAGATTCAACACTTCAGTTTAGAAGAAAGGAATTCCTTTTTGAAGACCCTAACTCCGTCTATAGCGTCGCCAGGAATGACCCCTACACCGCACCGTTGGCGCACGCCTGCGTCCTACCAACTTCCAATTTTGCCAAAGTCGCGAAAGGGAAAAAGACCTCGGAGCTGCCTTTGGGCAATTTTTTGTAATCAAAGTGGGGAGACCGACGCGCAGGCGGCGGCCCAAGTCCTGCTGGCAGGTCCCCAAGGTCCTTCCGGACGCGACCACACGTCTTCTCCACCACGGCGCCCACCCGCGGGTTCCCCGGCGCGCGCCACCTCGTCCAACCGCCCGCACAGGTGCCCGCCGCTCCGGGCCTGGCGGAGAGCCTGTCCCGGGGACAGGTGCGCGCGGCGCGGGCCGGCAGACGCGGCCTTACTCACCAGGTTCGGCGAGGGAGGCGCGGACTCCCCGGGACAGGGGAAGCACAGCCCCATCGGGACAGCGGCTGGACACCCCTCCCGCCCCGGACCGGTGAGTGCGAACTGCGCGGTAATCGCGCGCCCCAGGTCAGCCGCGCTCGCCCGGGTCCCACCCGCTGCGGGCGCCTCGGCTCGGCCCCGCCCCCTCCGCAACGCTCTCCGTGCTCGCGACTCCGCCCCGGCCTGGCGCTCGCTTCCGCCCCCGTGAGGCAACTTCCCACCCGCACCTACGGGCCCCGCCTGGCCGGTGTCCGGTGGGCGGATCGGGCCTGGCTGCCAGGAAACGCCGGCTTTGGCAGCAGGCAGGGATGCGATGGAGAAACTGTATTCACGGCTCCCACCTGCCTGGCCATGTATACATGAGTGACACGGCATTTGCTAGTTTATACTACTTCTTTTGTGAGATGGGACTCTGCCCTCCAAGAAATTAAGGTTTAATTGGCTTAAACTGGCTAAAATTGCATTTGACGGGAGCACCGTGTTCTGCCTTCTAAGTGACTCAGTATTATTCCAGTTGAGAGAGCAGAATATGAAGTACAGGGTCTGGCAAAAATAATGTCCTTTTTTTATTACAAAATCATAAGCATGTAATCCTGTAACAACAGTACCACATTCAAGCACACCATATGACATTTTAGATGACATGTTTGAATTAAAACTATAAATTATTACACCCACAGTATTACCCTACCAACCACACTCAAGCAGGCATTACCTCTGCTGGACCCTGTGCATCGCTATGGTTTAGAAGCCAGCCTCATGAAAGTGGCATTAGTTGAGGTGCCCATTTTTTTCTGACTTTTTTTTTTGGATTCACTTAATCCTTACAAGTGTAATTATGGGAGTTGATCTATTCAGAAATATTTTAATTGAGTGTTTCTCAAACTTCCATAGGCATAAAAATCATCTGGGCGTCTAGTTAAAATGTAGTTTATAATTTAATACGTTGAGGGTGAAACCTGAGATTCATTCCTAGTAAGCTCCTGGATAAAGCTGAAGTCACTGATCTCTTCACACAACTGCTTTTGATTGTTTTTTTCTTGCATTGTAATAGTTTTCCTTTCTTGTTGGAACATCTTCAAATACCACAAAATGGTAGGTTGTAAAGTGACAGTTAAAACCTTAGAAACCAACATTATATGGTTTCAAGTTTTATGTTTAAATCTTTAATTATTTTTAAATTAATTTTTGTGAGATGTGTAAGATCGGGATCTAATTTCATCCTTCTGCATGTTGTTATCCACTTTTCCAAACACCATTCATTTATTGAAGAGACTATCCTTTGCCCACTGCATATTCTTAGCTCCCTTGTCAAATAGTAGTGAGCTATATAAGCAAGGGTTTATGTCAGGGCTCTGGATTCTGTTCCACTGGTCTATGTGTCTATTTTTATGCCAACACTGATTAGTATAACTTTGTAGTATAGTTTGAAATCAGAAAGTGTGATCCCTCCAGCTTTGTTCTTCTTTATCAAGATTGTTTTGGCTATTCAGGGTCTTTTTTGGTTCCATACAAATTTTAGAACTGTTAGTTCTATTTCTGTGAAAAAATACCATTGGAATATTGATAGGAATTGCACTGAATCTGCAGATTGCTTTCGACAGAGTGGATATGTAAACAATATTAATTTTTCTGACCCATGAACCCAAGATATCTTTCTACTTGTTTGTGCCCTAAGAAAATACTGATTTACATTTTGTGGTTATAGATTGACTGTATTTCATATAGTTTCAGATAAATGGAATTATGTGTACTTCTTCAACATAAAGTTTTAAAATTCATTAATGTTACTGTATGTATCTTCAATAATATTCCATTTTTATAGCTGTGACACATTTTAAAAATGAATTTACTTATTGATTGACATACGGGCTGTTTGCATTTTGAGACTATTATGAACGAAGCTCCATAAATAGTTGCGTACAATTCTTTGGGTGAAAATGTACAAGGTCTGTCCACAAGGTATCCAGCCACATCATATGAAAAATGGAGACATTTATTGAAAGAGATACAGGATAAAATAAACATTGTACACAGGATAATGACACCTTGGTCCCCTTCAAAGTAGTCACCTTGGGACCTCACACAGTTCTCCCAGTCATCATCAGCTGCCCCATCGTATTTTCCTGAATCTCACCTACAGTCTGAAATTTCTTCCCCTTTCAAAGATGAGTTTAGTTTTGGAAAAAGGCAGAAGTTGCAGGGCGCCAAATCTGGGCTGTAGGGGGGCTGAGTCACCGGGGTGATTTAATGTTTCACAAAAACTGTACAAGATGTGATGCATGAGTGGGCGCCTTGTTGTAATGGAGCAGCTAGTCACCAGTTGCCCATAGATGCGGCCTTCTGAATCATCTGAATAGTTCCCAAGGAGGGAGGTTCAAGCTTACTGCAAAATTTGATGCAGATTCGTTGCTCTAGTTGCTCAGTCATTTTAAATTTGACAGCCACACAGTACTCATGCTCACTGGCATCTACTGCCTCCCTGACTAGTACAGTGAATTTGTCATTGTTCATGTATGCACATTTCAGTCTACTTTCCTTGGCTGCCAGGTTATATTGATGTTGTGCAAACTGTTCTTGTTTTATTAACAATGGCTGGACTTTTTCTGGGCAAACCTCATGCCTTATATCCCCAGCAGATGGTCTATTTTTGTGTTCTAGTGTACCCTTGAAAGAATAGGTGTTCTGTTGATGTTGGGTGGAATAATTTATAAATATCAGTACAATTTTTGAATGGTAGTGCTATCTCCTATATCTTTAATAATTTTATATTTGTTGCAACAGTTTTCAAGAGAGGAGTGCTATATTTCAGTTATAATTGTGGATTTGTCTATTTGTTCTTTGAATTCTTCTAGTTCTTGTTTAATGTCTTATGATGCTTTGTTAGAGTGCATGTCCTCGTGATGAACTGAAGCTCTCATTATTATAAAGTATTCATCTATATACCTGATAACATGATTTAGAAAGACTAATATGTGCTAGTAATATAGCCATTCTAGCTTTAAGATTTGTGTTTTCATGGTATATATTGTTGCATCATTTTATTAAACCTATCAATGTTTATATATAGAGCATGTTTCTAGTAGACATTTTGTAGTTGGTTTTGCTTTTTTAAATACCTTGATGATCTCTGCGTGTTGTAAGAAATTTCTCCATTGGTCTAGCATGGTCCTGTATGTTTTCTGAGCAAAGGTTTAATATTTTTTCCTCTAGACTATCTTTTTAAGGATGTTTGTATAGTAAGCAAACTTGGAAGATATAGAGCCTAGATCAGATTGTTTACTGTCCAGTATAGTGGAGATAATGCCTCTCTCTAGAGCAAAGTTGGGCAGGTTTGCTAAGCAGCCCCTTAGGTAAGATTGGGGCTTCCTTAGTTGTAACACAAACTCACGGTGTCAACAGTATCCACCTGGGCACACCTGTGTAACACCCTCATGGGGCTTGGCGAGTCTGGGGAAACCAATACAAGCATGCACTTGAGTGCCTGCCATGTCAAAAATATTGTAATAAAGTTATTTGACTCCACCCAGTCAGTCTCTTGTTTTCTTCCAGCATCTATGGAACTGTGACAGTCTAACTTGTTTCTTGTAAGTAGAATAAAATCTCAAATCCGTCACATTTCTGGATACTGCCTTTTAACTGGAGTGTTTAGACCATTTAGATTTAATGTAGCTATTGATTAACTTGGGATTTAATCTATTATCTTGCTATTCATTTTCTTTACTAGAAAATCCATTCTTTTCTTTTTCTGTCTTCATTTGGGAGGGTTTTAAGCATTCCATTTTATTTCTGTTAGCTCCACTTCTTTGTGTGTGTGCGTGTGTGTGGTTTCTCTAGTATTTGCATTATGTCTTTAACATATCCAACTCTGCTTTCAAATACTTTTCATGTAAAATATAAGAAATTTTCAATGGTTATACTCTCCCACCTGTTGTTACTGTTGTCATACATTTATCCCTACATGTTATTAAAACCATAATAATTGCTTTTGCTCAAAATAGTCAATATTTAAATAATATATTAGAATAAAAATTTATATTTTCTTATATGTGTATCATTTCCAGAGTTTTTCATTGTTCTATGTAGATCCAAAAATCTACCTGATACAATTTTTTCCACCTAAAGAACTTTCTTCTACAAATGTACTATTCTATTTTTTAGCATTTCTGGAAAAAAATATGCATTTTTGCCTTCAGTTCTGAAGGACAATTTTGCTCCATACAAAACATAAGTTTGGCAGCTTTTCTTCAATCAATTCTTTATAGATATCATTCTGGCCTATGTAGTATCTAATGAGGTTTGTGAGTTTTTTTAATGCTTGTTTCTAAGTATTTAGTAACTCCCTCCCCCTGCTGTTTTCCTCTCTTTTCAATGTTTTTCAGCAATTTGATTATGAGATATCTGACAAATTTAGGTCTTCATGTTGCTTGACATTAAGCTTTTTGGATCCATGGGATTAGTTTTCATCAAATTCGGAAAAGTTTGGGGAATTATTTTTCACTCCCACTCTCCCTATTCAGACATTCCCAATTATTCATGTTAGACCATGTGAAGTGGTGTCATAGGCCAGTGAGGAATGAATAATTTTTCCAGTCCTAATATCTAATATGCTGTTAATCTCATTTAGTGACTTTTAAAATTTTAGACCGTTTTTAGTTCTAAAAGTTCTATTTACATCTTTTAAATGTCTTTTATTCCTCTCCTTGTTGTGTTCATGTTTTTCTTTAACTTACTGAGCATAGTTAACATATACAATATTTAAATGAATTCTTCTGATTATATCATCTCTTTTCATTTCTCTGTCTCTTGGTATTTCTTGATTTCCCCCTGATGATGTGTTGCATTTTTCTGCTTCCTGACATGCCAAGTAATTTTGACTGGACACTAGACATTGAACATTGATAGTGGACAACGAATAAACAGATCTGCCTCTACTGAGCTTCACGCTGTGAACATGTAATTTAGCATTCAGCAAATTGTCAATGTAAGCCATATACAAATCGACAGAGAACATAGTTTCTTACTCTCAGGAATTGTGGTTTACAACTTCAGTTACCCCGGACTTCTTGAATTCTTATCTCTGTTCCTCAACTCCTCCCCAACTCGAGAAAACTGTTGTGTTCTGCTTATGATTCTTTTCTCTCTGCATCAAGAGCTGGAATGCTCCTCCAGGCAGTGAATGCAATGGTCAATGGGTCCACTTATTTCTCTTCTTTTAGGGATTACCTCCCCCCCGCCCCTTTTTTCTGACTTGTATTGCATTTCTGAAAACCATTGTTTTAAAAACCTTGTCCTGTTTTCCAGTTGTTTACTGCGGAAGCATAATTCTGGTACTTCCATCATTCCCAGAAGCAGAATCCCCTGTACTAGAAATTGTATTTTGGAGGCTGCAAATCATTCACTGAATATAATGTTCATATTAATCTACTAGTTGGCAATTCTGTAGTCTAGAAAACTGTGATAATTCCATTTTCATGTTAAGAATTACTTATGTAAATTAAACAAGCATTTTATAAAGACATATGATTATCACCCATTTCATACATAAAAGTAAATTTAATTCAGCATTCAAATTTTACCTTAAATGAAAATTTTAATTACACTACAGCTTATTTGCAATATCAACAAATAACATAGGTTTTAGTTATATTAAAACTCTCTCCTAGGACTATTTAAACATTGTAAACATTTTGTTTAAACACAAGTCATTATAAATATACAGCAGAGGCAATCTGTCTTCCGTTATTATTAGAACTTAATTCTAAATCTCTAATGTCACAAATAAAACTGCATAATTTTTATGTGAGCTCATGTTTGGTGAAAAGCAGATTTTTTTTTATTATTTGGTGAAAAGCGGAAAATCTCAAATTTCCAAGCAAAAAGAAAGTGGTAGAGTGATATGATATTTAATAAAATTATAGAGCTTGCAGCTCAGATGTGAAATTATTGCATTGTGTTTATTTTGCAGAAAGGGCAGAGTATTGCCTTTATTTTTCAAATGAAGTAAAATCTTGAAATGCCAGTTGATGTCAGAAATATGCAGATTTTGGTCTGGCACATGATTTCCTCCATACAGGCTCCTGCTTTATGTCCACTAGAAGAGATTAAAATACACAAGGAAAAGATTCAATTAAAATTTATATAAGGAAATGTTTATGCAAACTATAAATATCTTGAAAAGGTATCAAAGAGAGAAGCCTTCCTTATACTAAAAGAATTATGTAAAGAGCTAAAAGAGCTATTCTCAATTAAATCACATCCAGATACCATCCAGCTATGAAAATCGCTAATGTCAAATCAGTCATATCTCAAGAAAATTTGATGGGAACATTTTTTTTTCCCTGTGAGTCACGCAACAAATTCCATGGGCAGGAAGAATTTGTAGAAGATGAAGATAACAATTTGGAGAAAGGGTCAAAGTTATTTCTATACATACTGGGTGTGACAGAAATGGTAAATATCTTTTCTAAAACTTATGATCTGTGATTGACTGAGAAAACATAAATATTAGTTGAGAGTGTTTTAAGTCTTAAAATGACTCAAAATGAATGATCAACAGGGACAAATAAGTGAAAATGGCAAGATTATATGTATTAGTAACAAAAGGGATTTATCCTTAATATTTCAGGATAATTTAAATATCCCTAAGTATATCATTAATGATATAATTAGGAGATAACTTTTGTTTGAGAGATTTTAGACAGACAAAAATCCAAACAAAAACAATTTCTCAAACTTCTTTCAACACCTGGGGGCTTCAGGGTCATCAGGCACCCTTTATTCTGCCGGGCACAGTCCACGTGTCAGTAGAGTACTTTTATGTCAGATGTATGGACTCAGGTCTTAATTTTCACCCCAAATCATTTAAGTTGCACAAATACAGTTATATTTCTTTTTTTTCCTGAGGCCAAGATCAACTTAACAGGATGGAAAAAGAGAAGAGGATATTGGTAGGGATGTGACTTACAAAACAACAATTTGCAAAATGACATGAGAAGAAAAAGTGAAAGAAGAATCCGAACAGTTTAAGGCAGTGTTATTCTGTGTGGGCTGGTTTTGGTGCTAGTCTTCCATTTGCGGTTGTTTTGCAACAATATTAGCAGAGAATTGAGAGTATACCTTTATGTTTGTTTATAACAATTTGAGATTGCTATCACATTTTGATTGTATGTTACAATGGTTTGGAAATTAAACCAAACTGAATGAAACAAACAAAATCAAAGAAAAATCAAACAAAATTCATCTTTGACCACATTTGAGAAGCACTAAGAGCTTAAACTTCAATAGGAGATATTATACATTGTGGATGATATATAGAAGATATATAAATGAGGGTTTCCAGTCTGACATGTAAAGAGATTGAAAATTATCACTCTCATCCTCACAACAAGAAAAAAAAAACGGAATACATTGCAGCATTATTTACAATAGCCAACACATGGAAGCAACTTAACTGTCCATTGATTAAAAAATGTGGTATATACAATATATACACAATGGAATAATATTTAGTCAATAAAAGAAGAAAATCTTGCCAAAATCAATAACGTGGGTGGACCTTGATGACATTATGCTAAGTAAAATAAGTCTTACACAGAAAGAAAAATATCATATGGTTTCACTTACATGCGGAATCTAAAACACACATACACACACACAACAAAGCAAAACTGAGCTCGTCGATGTAGAGAACAGATTGCTGATTGCTAGAGGTAGGGGTTGGAGTTTGGGTGAAATGGGTGAAGTGAGTCAAAATGTACAAAGTTCCAATTATAAAATAAGTTAAGTTCTGGGGATATTATATACAGTACGGTGATTATAGTCAGTAATACTGTATTGTATATTTGAAAGATGCTAAACGAGTAGGTCTTAAGAGTTCTCACCACACGAAAAAGAACTGTAGTTATGTGTGGTGATGGATGTTAACTAGACTAACCTCAGGAATTATTTCACAATATATACAAACACTGAGTGATTGTGTTGTACACCTGAAACTGATATAATGTTACATATCAATTATATCTCAATTAAAAAATGAAAAAAGAAATGAACTGAACAGACTACACATCAACAACTCTTCTTAGGTCCACCAGGCCGTTGGGGCCACAGGGCAAACTGCTGCGCTGAGAACTGGAGAGACAAGCGATTCTGCTGCTGGAACCAAAACTAGTAGGAACACTTGAGTGATAACGGACGTGCTGCTGGAGGCAGGGTATGGATTAGCTTGAAAGTTAAAAACATGGGAGTAGGGGGCAGTTTTATGGAGGTCCTAATACTTTTTGAGTTTTACCTCCAGAAAAATATCCTCTCCTAACCGGCAGTGGGAGGGGAAAAACAATCACTTTGAAATACTCCAGAACTTTGCTCTCCTTAATAGGGTAGCTCTCAAGGAAAATTATTTTATCAGAAGCTAACCAGTTTGGATTTTACTGAAACCTAACTGAACTAGGGTAAGGGAAATGCCCAAATTCAGACCTTTCTGCCTGAGGGAAGAGAAATACCCAACTCCAGTTCCCTATACTCTTCCTGTCTCACTTGAAGGGGAGGGTCATAAAGGAACAGTTGAGAAGGTCACATCTCAGGCGCAGATTCACTAAAAGGCTGAGACCTAATAAAAAGACTATAATATGTTTATATTTCTCCCACTACTTACCACCACATCAAAAAGGCTCCTATATAATACCAGGGGAGTCCAGCCTAAAGAACTGAAAGCCTCACACCCTATTTTATTAGTAAGAGTCTACAGGAACCCAAATACAAGAGGGGAGAAAAAAATAGAGACACCAGAGTAAATTTTTACCACTGACACTATAGCTACAGCAAACAGAAAACACAGCCCAAATCCTAGCCAGATAAACATAAAACCTCACACTAAAGACTCATCTTTTTCAGCTTCTGTTAGTCAATACATCATCATTTCTAGCTCTCAACAAAAAAAATTACAAGACATCCTAAAAAGCAAAAAAAGAAAAAAATAAACCGGAAGAGACAAAGCAAGCATCAGATGTAGGCTCAGATATGGCAGAAATTTTAAAACAGTAAGACTGGGAATTTAAAGCAATTATGATTCATAGGCAAAGGGATCTCTAATGGAGAAAATGGACAAGATGCAAGAAAAGATGGCAAATGTAAGAGGAAATGGAAACTCTTAAGAAAGAATCAAAAGCAAATGCTAGAAATCTAAAACACTGTAGCATTAACTAAGAATGTCATTGATGGGCTCATCAGTAGACTGGACACCGTGGAAAAAAGAATCAGACAGTTTGACTGTGTGTCAATAGAAACAGCCCAAACTAAAAGCAAAGAGATAAAAGGATGGAAAAAAAATGGAATAGAATACCTGAGAACTGTGGGACAGTTAAAAACTTGCAAGAAATTTTATCAATAATTAATAATCAAAAGCAGAAGGCACCAAGCCAAGACAGGTTCACTAGTGAATTCTACCATGGATTGTAAAGAGAAATTATACCAATTCTCTTTAGCCTCATGCAGAGAATAGAAACAGAGGCTGAACATCTTAGCTTATTCTATTAGGCCAGCATTACCTTATCACCCAAACAAAAGACAGCATGAGAAAGGAAATGACAAACTAATATCTCTCAGAGAATAGACACAGAAATCCTCAAGAAAATATTAGCAAGAATCTAACAGTGTATATAAGGAATCATACACCATGACCAAGTGGGCTTTTTCTAACATATGCAAGGCTGGTTTAATATCTGAAAACAAATTAACATAATCCAACACCTCAACAGCTAAAGAAGAAAAATCATAAAATCATATTAATAGATATAGAAAAAGTATTTTACAAAATCCAATACTCATTTATGATAAAAATTCCCAGGAGATGAGGAATAGAGGTAAACTGTCTCAATTTAATAAAGATCATCTGCAAAACACCTACAGCTAATATCACATAATGGTGAGTAACTAGACGTTTTCCAGTTAAGGTCAAGAACAGGCAAGGATGTCTCTTTTCACCACTTCAATTTAATGTCATACTGTAAGTCCTAGCTAACACAATATAAAACAAGAAAAGGAAATAAAAGATATACAGATTAGGAAGAAGAAATAGAACTGTCATTCACATATGACGTGATTGTCTATATAGAAAACTCCAATCAATAAACAGCAACAAAAACAAAAAATTTCTGGAACTATTAGATAATTAAGCAAAGCTGCAGGATAAAAGTTTTTGTACAGGAAAATCACTTAACTTCTTATATACTGGCAATGAACAATTTGAATTTAAAATGAAAAACAGAACATTGTTTATATTAGTACACACACAAAAAGAAATACTTTAGTCTGTATCTAAGACAATATGTACAGGATATGAATAAGCAAAACAACAAAACTCTGAAAAATATCAAAGATAATCTAAATAAATGGGAAAAACTCAATGTTCATTTATAGAAAGACTTAATATTGTTAAGATACTGCTTCTTTCCTAGTTGATCTATAGATTCAAAAAAATCCCAATCAAAATTCCAGAAAACTACTTTGTGGATTACAACAAGCTGATTCTAAATTTTATATGGAAAGGCAAAGATCCAGAATTGCCAACCCAACACTGAGGGAGAAGAACAAAATTAGATGGCTGACACTACCTAACTTCAAGACTCATTATAAGGTTACTGTAATCAAGACAGTGTGGTATTGGCCAAAAATACCAGATAAATATTTTATTCAAAGACACTGAATAGAGATCACAGAAATAGACCCATACAGATCTTTGACAAAGCAGGAAAGGCAACACAATAGAGAAAAAATTATCTTTTCAACAAACAATGCTGGAATAACTGGAACAACATTCATCCATGTTCTAAAAAGAAAAGCCTAGATACTTACCTTACAGCTTTCCTTAAAATTAAATAAAAATTTATCACAGACCTAAGTGTCAAATGAAAAACTGCAAAACTTCTGGGAGTTAAAAGAGGAGAAAAATCTATGTGATCTTGGATGTGACAATGAGTTTTTAGACGCAACACCAAAAGCATGATCTATGAAAGAAATAACTGACAAGTTAGAATTCACTAAAATTAAAAATTTCTGCTCTGGGGAAGGCACTGTAAAGATATTTAAGGGACAAGTCACAGACTGGGAGAAAATATTTGCAGAACACACCTTATGAAGTACTGGTGTTCCATATATACAAATGACTCTTAAAACTCAATAATAAGAAAACAGCTCAGTTCAAAGTAGGCAAAGGTTTTGAGCAGACATCTCACCAAATAAGTTATTCAGATGGCAGGTAAACACTTGAAAAGATTGTCAGTAGTATACATCACCAGGCGATTGCAAATTAGAACAACTGCATACCTGCCAGAATGGCTAAAACCCACAACACTTGTGAGATCTAATATTGGCAAGAAGGTGGAGCAACAGGAACTCTCATTTATTGCTAGTGGGAATGCAAAATAATACAGCCACTTTGGAATACATTTTGCTAGTTTCTTATAAAGGTAAACATAGTTTTACCATATGATCCAGCAATTGAATTTCTAGATATTTATCCAAATGAGTTGAAAACATATGTTCACTCAAAAAACCTGAAATAGGAATGGTTATAGCAGCTTCACTCATGATTGCCAAAAATTGGAAACAGGTATGATGTTTTTCAATAGTTGAATAAATTAATTGTGATATATAAATACAATGGAATAGTATTTAAAGATAAAAAGAAATGGACTATTTAGCCATGAAAAGACATAGAAAAACCTTAAAGCATATTGCTAAGGGAAAGAAGCTTGTTTGAAGCTTGTAGATGTACTATATCATTACATCTACATGACAATCTGGAAAAGGCAAAACCGTATCAGTGATCGTCAGGGGTTGAGAGGGGAGAGAGAGGGGAGATACGATGAATAGGTGAAGCACTGGGAATTTTTAGGGCAGTGAAATTATTCTTTATGATGCTGTAATGGTAGATACCAGACATTACGCATTTGTTGAACTCAGAATTCTACAACACAAAGAGTGAATCCTAACTTTAGTTAATAATAATGTATTGAAATTAGTTCATTAATTATGATAAAAAATGTATCACACTGATGCAAGATGCCAATAATAGGAGGAACTTCTGGGGGAAAAGGAAAAGAAGTATGTAGAAACTCCCTGCTTTCTATTTAGTTTTTCTATAAACTTAAATTGTTATAACAATAAAGTCTATTGATTTAAATAAAAAGGGGGCACAAGAAAAATTTTAGGGGTGATGGATATGTTGATTATCTTGGTGGTGATGGTTTCATGGGTATACATGTGTCAAAACATTAAAAAATGTATACTTTAAATTTGAGCAGTTTCTTGTATGTCAACTATACATCAATAAAGCTGATAAAAAACAAACAACAACAAAATACACGCACTCTTCGTTTGGAGCTTACTTTCCTGATGAAAAGGGAACTAACTCAGCTGGCATGTGTTTTTCCCCCTTTGTCCTATACTTTTTGCTCTTGGAATGCAGACACATTATTTACTGATTTAGAAGCCTCTTTGAGACCATGAGAATAAAGGTCATGAGAAAAGTCTGAAGAATTAGATATAGAGAAAGAACCTGGGGCACCTTTGGTGATTTTTGGAACCGCCATATCAGCCCTAGAGTGCCCAGGTCAGTTATTCTTGTTTGGTGAAAAAATATATACTCCTATTTGCTTAAGCCACTGCAGTTGAGTTTCTTTTATAAGGAACTAAAGTTAGCAATTCCTAACTCACATAGCTATTCATTAGTTGTGTTTATAAAATATTTCCTTTCAAAAAGAAAATGAACAGAAAAAATCTTAATTATTGGAAATAAGATGTTTCTCAAATCTTTCCGTAATGAAATATAATCCCTGTTCTTAGATTTGCTTGGATAAGGCCAGGAATCTCTGCTAAATTGAAAGAGGAATGGATGAGCAAAATGGGGATTTTTGCCTTGCAGAAAAGCCTGAATATTAAGGAAGGTAACAATTGTCCTCAACTATCTGAAGGACTTTTAAATGGAAGGACCATTGGATTTATGTCTGGCTACAAGAAACATAATACCACATGTAAAAGGCACTTGATGCAATATAATGTGTTATGTGGAAGAACTTTTAAAACCATGTCAAGGATATACAAAAATGGAGTAAGTTGTGATTGGCGTAGAATTTTCTGATGTGTTTGAACCTAGTCTTAATAATGATTTAGCAGGAGATATTTTAATTTATTTTTTCAAATAATATAATCTAAAATATTTACATGAATAATTTTGTCAGATAACATATGGCAGAGCAAAAACTGGAATCCAGAACATGGCTTCAAAGATCATACTCTTTTCATTAAACCGCAATGATGATTACAAAGGAGATTTAAATAGTAGATGAGAATTTGATTAGAGGAGCTTTAAGGTACCTTCCCAGGCTGCAGTTACACATTTCTCAAAGGAAAGGGGAAAAACAAAATTTAGAGTATTCCATAAATTAAAAATGAGGATGTCTGTTGCATTTAAGGATCTGTTAATTTCAGTGATATCTTCATACTTACTAGGAGCCCTGGTTCTGGAAGAGGAGCAGGCTTTGCAAAACGTTTACTAAGTTTCCTCTTCTCTTTCCTTAGATTTTTCATATTCTGAACACGTTTTTGTATGGACTTGTGGAAAATTAAAAGGAAAGAAAACAAATTATACTTTTTAACTAAAAGATAACATGCAGATTATATTTTTGGTTTATGTGAGTAAAAGAAGATAAACACAATTGATGCACATGGTTCATAGATGAAAAAACACATTGGATTATCAATAGAGTTTTCAGAAGAGAGTATTTACTCTTGATTCCCACTTTAACAACTGTGTACATTTAGGTATATATGAATATAGTCTGTCCAGAAGGCATCCAGCCATGTAACATGAAAAATAGAGACATTTATTGAAGATACAGGAAGCATTGTACATAGGACAATGATGTCTCAGTCCACTTCGAAGCAGGCACCTTGGGGCCTCACACAGTTCTCCCAATCACCATCATCTGCCCCATTGTATTTTCCTGAATCTCATCTGCGGTCTGAAATTTCTTCCCTTTCAAAAGCGATTTTAGCTTTGGGAAAAGCCAGATGTCACAGGGCACCAAATCTGGGCTGTAGGGGGGCTGAGTCATCTGGGTGATTTGATGTTTCACCAAAAACTGCATGAGATGTGATACATGAGGAGGCATGTTGTCATGATGAAGCTGCCAATCACCAGTTGCCCCTAGCTGTGGCCTTCTGAATCATCCAAATATTTCTGCAGAGGAATGTTCAAGCTTGACACAAAATTTGATGTGGATTTGTTGCTCTACTTAGTCATTTTGAATATGATGGCCACACAGCACACATGCTCATTCAATGGTGTCTAACACCCCCACTGACTAGTACAGTGAAGTTGTCCTTGTTCACGCACGTGCATTGCATTCTTGTTATATTAACAATGGCTGGACTTTTTCCGTGTGTGTGTGTGTGTGTATATCTATACATATGTGTGTGTGTGTGTGTGTGTGTGTGTGTGTTTGTAAACTAATGTTTACTAATTGTTACGTAAAACTTGTTCTTGTAAGTAAAAACTATATAAATTAGTTTTAATGAATATATATATATTCATTAAAAAAATCCAAAGGGATCTTTTATAGTTGTTAGAGAAGAAATCTATGCACAGTCTTTAGTTCTCTTAAATGCTGGATATCACAGAGTTTTGCTTTGTTTTTTAATGGTCTCTCTGTATGACATCTATAAGTAGCAGACACCTAGGGGATTAAATGAGAATGCTTTGAAGATAATGAAATAGAGTATTAAGTGAAGAGGATATGAATAATAGGAGCTTTTATTCGCTGCTAGTGGGAGTGCAATTGCTTTGAAAACAGTGCAGCATTATTTCCTAACAATGAAAAATTCACTTTCCCTATGATCCAATCATTCCACTCCTGACTAAATATTCAAGTGAAACTCTTGTTCAGGGGCTAAAAAAGACATGAATTGGCATATTTACAGTGGCATTGTTTATTACAGGAAAATGTGTACACTACCTATTGCCTATCAACAGGAGAAAGGATTAAAAACAGATATATTCCACAAAGAAATATTAAAGAGCAGTGAAAATAACTACCTACAACAATATGGACACATCTTATAAAACAATGTTCAGAAGAATAAGTTATATACCAAATTTTATGTTATCATATGTTTATAAAGTTAAAAACCAAGCAAAATCAAACAATATATTTTGAAAGGTGCATATGTTACAAACTACTTTTAAAAAATGAGACTGATAAAAATAAAATCCAAGATTGCCGTTACTTCAGAGAGAATTAGGAAGGTAGAAGCAACCCCTAGATAAATTCAAGGATATTTGTAACATTTTCTTAAGTTGGAGGTATATTTTATTCTGTTTTACAATTTTTATAGTCTACATATATTCTTGTGTCTGTATCAAATGTTACATTAAAAAATGATAATATAAGCCAGTTAGGTTATCTTACTTAGGACTCATTCTAATGGTAAGTCACGAGATTCCAGAGTCCCACGAAAGATAACACAGAAGTGTCTAGCTAATTAAAGTTCCATCATATTTGGGACCACAACACATAAAGGAACAAGATAAAAATCACAATTTTGAAACACCTAGAATTATTTAAATATTACCTGCCTTTCAGTGACTTCTGAAGGATGATGTCGTCTTGGTCCTTCCTACAATAATTTTAAAAATACATAAAAGTCATGAGCAAAGAGAAAGAATAGTTATTATCATAGGAAGCCTATGCTACTGTTTTTTAATTAATACATGCATATTATCTCAAAAGCCATCAAGTTAAAAACCAAGGTAGAGATTGATAACAGTATTATAAGAAAAGAGAAACAGGTATAAATCATGTAACAGGAAAGAAAATTTAAAAATGGAATGGGACGGCCACTGGAGGGAACCCTCAGGCCCTACCCCTGGACATCAGTGACAGACCTGTCAGGAAGAATTGTCAACCATGGACCTCAAAAGAAGAGACTCGCCACTCCGGCAGAAGGAAGATTTCCTTACTTACAACTCAGCCGATGAGAAACCACCACCGACCTAAACTCTCACTTTTTCTTTAATGGGTTTTCCTTCAAAAGCACCCCTCCCAACTTCCCCATTTTCACTAGAATTTTCTCTCCTTTGTTTGTTGGATTAGCCTACAGTTTTTGCTATAACATATTCTGTCTAGAATAGCAGTTCTCTGCTATTCCCAGCTATACCCATTATACTGCTAAAATAATTGGCTGTTTTGTTTTTTTTAGGGCAACTCAGGAAACACGTTGACTACAGAGATTTATTCTGAAAGAAAATGAGGTACAATAAATCCCAAAACTCATGTTTCCATTGGTACATGCCTTCAGTGGTGCCACTCTGATCTTCGCTTAAGGAAGTGTCTTCTAAAGTGTTGAAAAGCTGGGGCAATCGAGAAACTCCACCAGATGGGTTGGTTTTCTGAGGCACGGGGAGTTTGGTTGGTAGTTTATGGCGTTCCCACTCCTCCCCCTAATTTCTAAATTGTGCAGTACTCCCCTCGACCTCATTTTGATCCAATTGTTTAACCCAAAGACCTAAAAGCAACCTCCTCCCCATCTGAATATTGAGAAGCATATCCTTTCCCCCTGCCTCTGTAATCCTCACTTCACCTTCTGGGGTGGCTTAGTGGGTCAGTTCAACAAACGCGATTGGCTCCCAGAAGGCACAGGGTGGAGGGCTTCTCCTTGTCCTGGGCAGTCCGTCTATTTCACCAGGGATTTCCCAACCCCCGGCACCAAACTGTGAGTGTGCAATAGCCTGAAGTGCTAGTGGTCACTGTGGCCTTCAAAGTCAAAGCCTGGGCACGGGCGACAGAGGCGGGGTTAAGGGCAGGAGACTCACGGGGCTGACTTGGGTAGTTTCGTCCCCTACACAGGGCAGGCACATACTTCAGAGCTTCAACGCGCCCCTGGCGCCCACTGCCCGATCCCAACCGAGTACTTGCCCGCGGGCCACGCTCTCACCGCCCGGAGCCCCGCCCCAACCGGTCACAATTCTCTTTATCCTCGCCCAGGAGCCCCGCCCTGTCCCTTAGCTGTCGTCCAATCCCCATGCAAGGAAGGTGAAGTCCCTGGCTGTGTTGAGAGCACTCTGGAATAAGGGATGCTAGGTTACAGCAATTCCCTGCCCCTCCAGCCCTTTTGCTCAGACTACCACAGAATGCCAGTGGTTCATTTTTTTCTAGTCCTTATCTCTCTACTCTCCACCAAGCCCCGCTTCACTCATTAACATTTCTAACTTAGATTGCGTGGCTGCTCACTTCAGCCTATCTTCAGGGGTCTCAATTCTGGGATCTCATTGTTCTTCAATAAGAGCTTCCATTTGGATCTGTCCAACTATCGCCCTTCACCCTGGGCTGAAATGGGGACAAATTGAAGATTGCTCCAATACGTATCCATAATCTCCAACTTAACCTGGGTCCTTGCTAGTGCTCACCCCTTCTGTTATGTTGAATACCTTTCTGTGTTTGAACTCTGGAGCATTCCTTTCTAACTGCCTGCCTGCTATTCGAATCTCTGAACCCGCCATCTCCCAGGTGCTTTGAGCAGAAGTAGGACAGCTTCTGCTCCACGCCCCGTTAGTGGCTAACACATATAGAACTTTATGCTCAGAGTTATTAGATAAATTTATACATATTAGCTCATCAACTCTTTACAACAGCCCAAGAGGGTAAGTGCGTAATTATTATCCTCTGGAAAACAAGGTATTGGTATGTTAATTGTCCAAGGTTATACAACTAGAGGGTGAACTGAAATTGAAATCCACAAAGTGGCCTCAGAGCCTGTGCTCTTAATCATTATTCCACAAATTGCTCTTATTTTATTATTTTATTTTATTTTATTTTATTTTATTTTATTTTATTTTATTTTATTTTATTTTATTTTTTAATCTCTACCCGCGGACATTTTTTCACTGCTTTTTGAAACAGAGAAGGGAGAGGAGAAGCGAAAGAGAGAAACCTATGTGAGAGAGAAACTGTGACTGGTTGCTTCTCATATGTGCCAGGACCAGGGATCATTCTGCAGTTTAGGTATGTGCCCTGACCAGGAATTGAACCTGCAACCTTTCAGTTATGGGATGATGCTAAACCAACTGAGCCACACCTGTCAGGGCTGCCACCAATTGCTTTTAAAAAACCAGACAAGCTGCCTCAGTTCCTTGCTACCTGTATACCTATAACTTGGTATCCTCAATATCCTTTTCCCTGACATACTGTTGCGATTGGAAAAGTTGTCACCCGTCCTCTTGTCTGAAGTACATCTCTGTATGCCTATTCTTACGCCATTTCCTGCCTAGAACCCTCTTCAGAGATCTTACTCCACAGATTGCTCTCTTTTCTTGTTAACCTCTTTATATTTATTCTCCTTTTAACATTTAAATACCATATGCTCAAATCTTCCTCTCTTCAAACTAATAGACCAAAACCCTTGATTAACAACTATTAAATAATATAAGTAATATTATTATAAAATAATAACTACTTTCCATCCCCTCTGCTTACAGTAAATATTCAGAAGTGTCTGCAATTCTCATCTCCTCTTCTTTACATCCAGTGTAATATTTGGCTCACTGCAACCTGCTTCAGACATTTCTATTGTTGGTTTCAAAATGATTACGAAAGATCTTCCTGCTGAATTCAATGAACACTTTGTACCATTTGACTCTTGCAGAGTGTTAGAAACTTCAGAGAGATCTCTTGAAAGAGTTAGGCTTAGGAAAATTATTCTTGCCCCCTGTAGTTGTCAAAACCATTGCCCACTCCCATATTCAGTTATTTGTCTCATTTCTTGTCTGAGAAAAGCTTAATTTTATTTTGTTTTATATCTTAAAGTGTCTGTTTCATAGTGTAAGTAAGATTAGATTGTTAGGATGTTTCCATGTCGCATCTGGTGTTTTTATTATCTTCCTCTGTGTATTTGATAAATACATAATGATGAAATCAGTTAAAATAGCATTGCACTGATAAATACTATGTCTGTGTCTTGTAGTTGCTCTGCTCTTCCTGTTTTAAAGTGCTTAATCTTTAAGCAACTAGCTTTGTGTTTTATCTGGCACTAGGACCTGCAAATTGTGTAGGTGAACTTGAACTTATATTACCAAGTTTGTGAGAAATTATCTCTCTCTTTCTCTCTATCTTCTATCTGGCTATGGAACATCTGGTGCATAATAGCACTTAATGTCATTTTTTATTATTATTGCCATATACCAGTTTTCCCTTTTTGTACCTATGCAGTTAAGTTGTGAAACCTAGGTTACAATCTTTTTAATTTGTCTATATTGAGTTATATCTTTTTAGACTCAGCTTAATATTTCATCTTGTCAAGAGATTTTCTTCTTTGCTGTAGCGCAGTGTCTTCGTGTCATCTGCTGTCTGTATCAGTATGTTATGTCATCATCCAAGTTTGTGAAAAAAGCGTTGGCCAGGACGAAGCTGCGAACACTCTCCACAAAGCACAGAGGGCTGCAGTGCGGCTCCCTCAGTGAGTGTTCACCAGCACTTTTATTATTTTGTTCATTATTTTACAAACTCACTCAAATTTGATAGCAGCTACTTGTGATTATATCCATCTCATCCACAACGATATCATGCCTTTTTAAAATATATTGCTAGAATCCAGATCTACTCTAGGACACTAGTCCATACAGAAAGTTGTTCATTAAACTTCTCCATAACTTAAAAATAACTTACATAAAATTTTAGAGTTAATATTGTACAAAGAAATCAACAACGGAGTTAAACTAGGGAGAAGAATATCAGGCTTTTTTTTGGACTGTTTTACATTTGTATCATAGATTAATGCATTAGTTTTCTATGGATGCTATAACAACTGACCACACACTTAGTGGCTTAGAACAACAGAATTTTATTCTTCACAGTCTAGAGGCCAGACGTCTGCAGTCAAGTTGTTGGCAGGGCAGTACTATCCCGAGGGCCCTGGGTAGAACCTGGTCATTGACTCTTCCAGCTTTTGGCTGTCTCCTGCACTCATTGGCTTGAAGTCACATCATTCCAACCCGTCTCCATCTTCATTTGCCTTTCTCCCCTGTGTGTGTCTAATCTCTTTTTATCTCTTTCTTATGCAGGCAGTTGTGGTGGTATTTAGGGCCCACCCAGATAATCCAAAATAATCTCATCTCAAAATCCTTAATTTGATTACACCTGCAAAGAGCCTTTTGCAAATAAGGAAACATCAATAGGTTCCAAGCATTAGGACATGACCATATCTTTGATAAAAGTTATAAACTTACCACAGGCAATTTAGCCCTTTAATTTTGAGTTATATGTAGGAAGGACATTATACAATTTCACCCTTAGGACTACTATATGACTAAACCTGGCACTGGATATGGGCTAATTTTATAAGGACCTGCTTGTTTTTTCTACCACCTGGACCTGAAACTTCTCACCTCTGTGGTACAGAACTAGCTAGAGACACTTACTGTGTCTCCAGGCCTTTGATCCACTGCAAGGAAAGCAGATAACCAGGTGCTGCAGGTAGAGTGCTGGAAGTAACAAGTGACTTATTTTGTCATTATTACGGATGGGAAATTGTCTTTGGCAATACCTTATGACACTTTTAATCCCATGTCCTGTTTGGTAGACATAAATCATATGCCACTATTTCTGGTTTTTAAATTTCTTCTGGGCCAGCAGGTAAGTCAGGGCTCTTATAGAGGCTGCGTGTAGGAATGAGCCGGCTGAGGCAGTGAGCTGCTAGCGGGTGATAGTGCTACACAAATCGTAGGCCTGGCACAGACTCCTAGCGGAAAGAACAAGACAGAACACATACAGGACAGGATATGAGGGGCCCAGACTAGAGCAATTCCACAAGGCCCAGGAAAGCATAGGCTGGTACGCACCTTCTCCTAAATTATAGTTATAGTAATGTGTAGGTAATGAGTGAACCTGAGGAGAGAGAAAAAGAAACAGAGTTCACAAGACCTGGTTCTATAGGCAGGAAGGGACCATTTAAGGGGTTACCTTTCCCTTAGCCTGGGGTGGTGAGGACGCTATGGGTGAAATCTGGCAATTTTAAAAGGTGGTGATAAATGGAGAGGGGGAAAAGTCAGTCAGTGACAAGACTCGCAAACCAGTGGTGATGGCTCTGTTCTCATGGTTTCTCTCCTCTTTTCCCTACTCAGCCCTACTACATCTAGAGCTTTAGGGAGCTAATAGGCCATGAACCCTGCTTGCACTCAGTGAAAGGTTCTCCTGCGTTGTTATGCACTTGATCTGCGTTTCACCTCCTCGCCTTTGCTGACTCTGCACCTATCATGCCTGCCCCAATAAGAGGTCAGGTCTTTTCTCAAAACTATTCCTCAGAGGAGAATGAGTCACTTTATATGAGAACCCTTATGAAGTCCCTTTCAGAGCTCCTTCTCAGTTACTCTACCTTGAAGAACAGTTTTTTTCAGACGAATGTATTAGTTAGAAATTGGCCTTAATGAATGCCATCTTTTGGTACTTCTCCAGATCACCTGGGTGAATCAGTAAAAACACAAGGTAAAGAAATTTAGTAATTATCTTTTGGGGTATAGCTTCATGTTTGGAATTTCTGAAAGTCTTGTAAATGAGCCTTTTAAAAGATCCCTTTGAAAACTAGTAGAACAGGCCCTGGCTGATGCGGCTCAGTTGGTTGGAGTGCCATCCCATAATTGAAAGGCTACCTGACATAATTGATTCCTGGTCAGGACACATGCCTTGGTTGCAGGTTCCGTCCGCAGTCGGAGTGTGTGTGGGAGGCAGACAATTGATGCTTCTCTCTCACACCGATGTTCCTCTCTTGTCTTTTCTCTCTCTAAAAGCAATGAAAAATGTCCTCGGGTGAGGATAAAAAAATGGTGAAAACTAATAGGAGAAGTAAATGGCTGTATTTTGGAGATCC